TGGAAGGAAAAATGCAGTGCCCAACGTTGGTGATTGACTTATTGCCCTAAAAAGAAGTCCTTGTTGGACTTAACCACTTGTTTCTCTTTGTCCTTAATGTCCAGTGAGCTCTCATTAGTGTTCTTTTGGTGTATGTTGGTTTATTAGTGTTGGAATGGATTGATAATTGGCAATTAAAAAAAAAAACAAATATTCAGGCTTCTTTAAACCTTGTATTAGAAATCTTAATTCTTAGAGTTTAACCTCCATTTCCAACTCTTAGTTGTGGCATATTTCATAGGAAGATAGCTTTGAGACTGTCAAAATGATTAGATACGTAACCCTAGTTCTAGTTGGGTACTAGTTTCTAAGATAAGAAAGAGAAATATATTTTTTTTCTTAAAGGGAGCAAAAGAGAAATCTTAAATGAATACTTCTAATAGTGAAATATTTTTAAGTTTAAAAAGAATGTTACAATTATTCCTGTTCTTTCTATCATGACCATCCTGTATGTGCCCCATGGAAGCATCTTTGGCTTTATTGATTTTAAAAGTAACAAATCAGCCAGTCTTATACCTGTAATCTCAGCCCTTTGGGAGGCCGAGACAGGAGGATCACTTGAGCTCAGGAGCTGGAGACCACCTGAGCAACGTAGCAAGACATTGTCTTTACTAAAATTAAAAAGTAACAGCCAGCTGTGGTAGCTACTTGGGGGCCTGAGGCAAGAGGATCACTTGAGCCCAGAAAGTCAGGGCTTCAGTGAGCCCTATCTTACCACGGCACTCCAGTCTGGGCGACAGAGTGAGACCCTGTGTCAAAAACGGAAAAAACCCACAAGTCATTATGTGGAAGATTTATTTAATACAGACGTATTTGTAGGTAAAAATTAAGTCAAGACTTTTTATAATGCCAAAAAATAATCATAGCTAAAAGTTTGGAGTATGGCCTTCATATTTACCAATATATATATAAACCTGTGTTTTAAATATGAATAATACATAATTCAACATGTACATATTTCTATGTCAGTAGATAAAGTTCTATCTCATGTTTTATCACTACTTAAAATTCATTATGTAGATCTACCATGATTTATTTAATCAACTTTCTGATGATGTGATTTAGGTTGTTTCTAAATTTTTTTTCTAATATAATTACTTGACCAATTATCCTTGGGATAAATTATTTCTGGGAATAAAACTATTGAGGCAAAAATATACAATTTTTCAAATATAAAATTTTATTTATAACTTTTATGAAATTGAACTAGAAGCCTACACCAGTTTATATTCCAGTTTATAGTCCAACCAGAAGCTTGCACCAGTTTATATTCCAGCCAACAGTGAAGTGTCTATTTTGCCACACTTCCTTAGCATTTCTAATTTAAAAAACATTTCTGCAAACCTGATAGGTAAAAATATTTTATTTCTATACTCATTTCTTTGGTTATTAATGAATTTGAACATCTTATTGTAACATTAGAGCAGTGTCATTTAAAAGGAACTAATGACTTTTGATTTGCATCTTTTTTCTTGGAATTATGATAGCATTTCCCATATGAAAATTTGCAGTTTGAAGTTATGAACTCAAAAGAATAATTGAGATTATGGGTCTAGCACCTCTTTCCTTAAATGTGTGTGTTCATTCACATGCTTTCTTGAAACTGTGGGAAGAGAATGATCCTTTATTTTTTTTAACAGGCCACAGAGAGACTGATCTTTAACAGTTTCTAGTAAGCAAGTGTTGGAAATAAATCTCTTGTGTTAACTCAGTGAAAATAAGTATAAAATATTTGTTTTCCTCATTTAATACAAGTGCCATCTAAGTATTTTTCAACTTTTTTTAAATTGCCTCCAACGAGCTTTCTGCCATGATACTTTGATACCATAGATACACTGTTTATCTGTTGCATACAGTAGCCCTTTGTAGGGCCGCAAATGTTTTAACAGCTAAGATTTTGTTGGTCCTTCAGAGAACCAGTTTTTTTCCTCTTAGGGGCAGTGCTGCTGTCATTGCGAATCCACGTGTGTATTGATATTTGGGGGAGGAGAGGGAAGAGAGAGAAACAGCTTTACTATGCATGAACAGTTACTTGGGTTTCATAGGACTCATAAGAGGTTAGTGTTTCTGTTGTTTTGTCAGATTGTCCAGAAGGGAGCATTAGGATTAATAGTTGCTGCAGTTACTTCACCAGTCTTATCACCCAACTCTAAACATGGTATCTTGGAGTCCCTAAGTTACCTAAAATATTCTAGATATAGTAATGCCATTTTTGAGAATGTTGCTATGCCAAGGACGTAGTGACATTATTGTAGTTGAAGACATTTTGTTGAATTTAGGGAACAATAGCCCGCATGCATTAGGAGTAATTGTAAATGTTCAGACCTTTATCCTTGTGGTTCTCAAAGAGTGATGATTCTGCCTCCAACAGGACATCTGCAATTTTGGTTGCCACAAGTGGATGCATGAGTGTTCCTAGTGGCATCTAGAGGGTGGAGTCCTAGGATGCTACTAAACATCTTGCAGTGCAAAGGACAGAGTCCCCCATTGCAAAGAATTATCTAGTCCAAAGTACCAGCACTGCTGAGATTGATAAACCCGGCTCTATCTTAGTGATTGTACTTCTTGGAATCTAGCTTTAGAAAATCATTCAAGTAATATTGCTAGGATTTTGGTGTATGTGTATTTTTTTAAGTGGGACATATATTTGTATACATAATTATGAAAAATGGGAAACAAATTTAATTCTTTGAATCGTAAGAAGAACACGTCAGGACTTACAGTAATTTCAGCAACACTGAAGAATTGGAAACCATTTGAGAGAAAATTAACTCACCCATTTCAGGAATTTCTTTTTTGAAACAGTATCATTCTATCATCCAGGCTGAAATGTGGTGACGCAGATGCAGTTCACTGCAGTCTTAACCTCCTGGGCTCAGGGGATTCTCCCACTTCAGCCTCCAGAGTAGCTGGGACTATAGGTGTTCACCACCATGCCTGGCTCATTTTTGTATTTTTTGTAGAGATGAGGTGTCACCATGTTGCCCAGGCAGATCTCAAACTCCTGGGCTTAAACAGTGTGCCCTTGGCCTCCCAAAGTGCTGGGATTTACAGGCTTTAGCCACTGTGCCCAGCCTCAGCAGTTCTTTCTATGATACCCTTCAACTTCTGTTTGCTCACCTTGGGTTAAAATACGGTATAGAGAATCATCTACCATTATCAATAGCCCTTTATTTCTTAGAAGGAATAAAAGTATCTCAAAAATGCAGCAATTTATAAATTAGTTAAATTAGAGTATGGGTGCACTGAATGTTCTTTATATTATTCTCTTTTTCTGTGTTTTTGAAATATTGCAAGATCTCATTTTAAAAGTAGTGTACTTTTCAAATTTGTTCATGTTTGAGCTGAGGCCATTTTTATCAATAGTTTAGCAATGTATATATAATAAAATAGCAATGAATGACTTTGTTATAACTAGAGCTAGTTAACTACAGCACATAAAATTATTTCCAAGAGCTTTTTTCTCTGTTTGGAATGTTAAGTACTTTCTGAACGTATTAAGGTGTACTAAATGTTAAAAGGCAAATGGTTTTTGAAGTTTCTCGAGCAATAATTGGGGTGGTTGGGTATGGTTTACAGTTCCATAAGATGGCAAGTTGGTGATCCTTTTTTCTCCTCTAAGTTAATGTGGAAAAACATACATTTAGGAAGAAACTATATTATGCATTAAGATTTTAAAAATCAGTTTATTTCTTATGTAAAAAATGTCTCTCATCCTCTTCATAATGCTATTATGGTATGCTTATTTCACAAGTAATGAATATTGCAAGATGTTTTGTTTTGGAAGAATTATTTATTATTTAAAACTAGTACCTGTTGCATTTGCATTCAAATTTTTAAATGTTTTTTCCTCTGAGATTTTAGACATCTAGCCTTTAGATTAGGAAAGGGTACTTTTCAACTTTGTTCCCAATAAAAATAAATAGTAAACTTAACATGATTATTTTTATATGACAAACGGCACTATCAACATACGTAGAATTAAGCCTATCTTTCTCTAGCTTGTGCCAAAACTGTCTTGTTATTAAAGAAAACTACTTTATGCAGATCTGTGATAACTTATTTTAATGGAAGGAATTTTACTTGAGTTTATGGTCATTGCCTTCTGACAAAAATTTTACTAAATTATGTAAGAGTTTGATGAAAGATACTCTACTAGATTGTATTAAAATAAAATTATTTTGGATTTTGGGGTCCTACTGCTATGGAATAGATTTTTAAGGACATGCCGGTAGTCATTAATGGATTGTTAGAAATTTCTTCTAAGTAAAGAAAACATTGTGTAAAATCATCATGCAATGAAGACATTTAAATTTCTGTAATGGATTCAATATTTTGAGCATTCTATTTTTTTTTTAAAAAAGGAAGCATGTCAATGTCTCTAAATTTAGGTACATTAAATATAGTCATTTTTCTAGAATCAGGCATTTAGTGCATTATTGCTGTTGATCCTGTGTCAAACCAAAGTTTAGACCTGAAAGCATAAAGACTGTAGCTCAAAGTGCCTTCTGCTTAGCAACCAGCTTGTTTTCTACTGTTTTGCTACTGAATGCACGTACTCATGCCTCAGAAGTGTATCTGCAGCCAGCTGGACTCAACCGGACAATACTTCATTCACCTAATTTCCAGACTAGTCAAGCAAAGACATCAGCTCATTGTATTTAGTCATGAGGAAATTTATTTGTAAACTTCAAATAGTAACACACTGCTCTCAAAAGCCCCTGAACTATGAGAAATTGCCTTCTAATTCAGAAATGTGAAGTCCTTGGAATTTAGAACTGCTTTCCTTTTTTCTTCTTTCTTAATAATCCTTGCAAGAGAAATTAGCTCTTCATAGAAAATATATGTTAAATTCTAAGAAAAATTTTAGAATTATCTTAAAGTAAAAATTCAGAAAGTTCAATTTGCATCCATACTTTTATTATATACCCTGATTCTAACATGATTATTTTCTCTCTTAGAAAACAACAGTTTTGTTGGCATGTGAAGCTCCAGTTTCCTCAAAGTCAAGCTGAGTATATAGAAAAAAGGTATCCCTGCTATCTTTCAATAACTGATTTGTTTTACTTTTAAGGCTGTGTATTTAAAATAAACTGTTAATGTCAGTAGTAGAAAGGATAACTGAATTATGGTATATTTATACAGTTAAATGGTAAACATCACTAAAAATGAATGAACTACAGCTGTGTACATGAACGTGCGTGAATCTCAGAAATAATGTAAGAAAAGCAAGTTAAGGAAGGATGTATAGAACATGATTCTGTTTGTAAATAAGGGGGGAGAAAGCCAGAAAACTAAATCGTGTACTTTTAGGAATACCTACAAAGGTGATAGAACTCTAAGGGAAATTATTAACATAGAAATCCTCATGATAGTTTCTTTAGCAGGGTAGCAAGTATTAAGTAGAGGCATCCAAGAATTAGAGGGCTGAAAATTTCGTATTTCTTAAGCTGAGTGGTTGTTACGGAGATGAAAAATGACCCTAAATTCTACCATGCAAAGATTGCAACAATTAACATTATAATGTATCACTGAGAAAATGTATTATTTTAGATGTATATATGTGTACTCATTGGAATTAATTTGCATAAAGTTTATTGTGTTATTGTTTCATATTCAAACTTGTTCTTTTCTTTTTCTTTTTTTTTGGGGTGGTAGGGGGGTGTGGGGGCAGGATCTTGCTCTTTTGCCCACGCTGGAGTGCAGTGGTGCAGATCTCTGCTCACTGTAGCTTCAACCTCCTGGCCTCAGGTGATCCTCCTACCTCAGCCTCCAAGTAGATGGGACTAAAGGCTCAGGACATCACACCCAGCTAATCTTGTTTATTTTTTGTAGAGGAAAGGTCTCACTATGTTGCCCAGGCTGGTCTCAAACTCCTGGGCCCAAGCAATCCTTCCACCTCCGCCTCCGAAAATGTTGGGATTACAAACGTGAGCCACCACACCTAGCCTATAAATGTTTTCAAGTTTCATTTATACATTTTAATGTCAGCCAGGTGCAGCAGCTCACACCTATAATCCCAGCACTTTGGGAGGTCGAGGCAAGTGGATTGCTTTTGGCCAGGGGTTCAAGACCAGCTTGGCTAACATGCTGAAAACCCATCCCTACTAAAAATACAAAAATTAGGTGGGTGAAGTGGCATATGTCTGTAATCACAGCTACTGGGAGGCTGAGACATGAGAATAGCTTAAACACTGGAGGCAGAGGTTGCACTGAGCCAGGATCATGCCATTGCATTCCAGCCTGGGCGACAGAGCGAGACTTTGTCTCAAAAAATAAACAAAACATTTTAATATTTGTGAACAATTTCATTTCTTGTTTTAGGAAAATTTTTAACTTGCTCTTTAAGTAGTATATTCCTGCATTATACGTAAATATCCTGTCTTTGTAGTTGTCACAGGGATTTTAGCGAAGAAGTTTGTTATTTGAAGTTGCATACAGGGAAAGGACTTATTTTACAGATAGGGGTATGTAGCCAATGGTATATATGAATACGTATAAATGGTTAAGGAAAGTTTAAAACAGTGTCTTAATTTTATTTTAACAGCTTTATATATAAGTTTAAAACAGTGTGCATATATTGAGGAAAGTTGGAAAACTTAAAATGTTTTGTTTCCAGGGAAATTAGTATCAATTTTTTATCCTGGTCTTATAAACTAGAAAGGATAAACTTGAACATGCACTGAAATCTGAAACCTTTTTCAGATTTATTATTTCTGCTAATTTCGAATATATTTTATCCTGACCTCTTCATGTTTGTATACAGGTGTGTGTTAAAAGAGTCTTCTTATTTTTATAATTGATTTATACAGATCTTCTCAAAATGTTGTTTTTTAAGACCTTGTTAAGTATGTCCAAGAACTCTTTTTGAGTTTTTCCCTAAGTAATTTTTGCTTAAAAGGATATTTTATTTTGCCAAGAGTAATATAAAAGGTCTTTGTTCAGTTATTTAAATCAAAAAAAGCCACATTTAGTAATTCAAATATAACACCTTTAGTAGAAAATTATAAATAATAATATAGCTTGGTTTTTTTCTTTGTTGGAAAGAGTACCAGAAGATAAAACTATTAATGAAATCCTAAAACCTTACATTGATCCTGAAAAGTCTGATCCTGTAATTCGTCAAAGGTATGCTTCAAAAATATTGTAACTTTCTGAAATAATTAAAAATGTCGAATAGTTATTAGAATGTGATGTGTAGTGCAATTTACTTTCCCATTTTTTTTGGTGTTTACTGAAGGTCTATGAGTATAAATAACAACAGTAGCTGACACTCATTGTTTACTGTGTTCCAGACACTCTTCAAAGCAGACAATAACAATTAGGTTAATTCATATAATCCTCACAATAACTCCGAAAAGTAGATTATTATTATACCCATTCTACAGATGGGGAAATTGAGCCTTAAAGTGGTTAAGTAATGTCCTATAGCTAGTAAACAGCTAGGATTCACATCCAGGCAGTCTGGAGTCAAAGTCTTTACTATTAACCCTTAAACTAAACTACCTTTGAAGTCGAACAAAAAACTCTGAAAATTAAGTTTCCAAGTAAATTTTAAAGACAGGAAATCCTGTTTCAGTCAAGTTGTCATAGAACTAAGTAAGGTATACTCTGCCTCCTGTCCAGAAATACAGCGTGGACAAAAGTGGTTAACATAGTGGAATGATTCAGTCATGGATCTCTGGGTTAAAATAGCTGTTTCTATCCCTTATTAGCTGTGTGATTAAGAGCAAGTTACTTAATTTCCAGGCCTTAGTTTTTTTCATCAGTGAAATAAGAATGATAACACTTCCTAGATAGGGTTGTTACAAAGCTTAAAAGAAATAGCTGTATAAAATTCTTAATACAGGACCTAGCATATAGTAGGCACTGCTCAAAAAAGATTATTATTAGAGTGTGAGTTATTAGGGCTCCTGGGCAGAAACCCAGTTGACTTTATTTTCACCAGATGGTACTTGCTTGGGATATGAACAAGTGCTTGGTTTGGTTCCAGAATAACCTGGTATTTAAAATTTAGACTGGGTGGATTCTAAAATGTCAAATCCAGTTCTAATTAAATCTCAGTATTTTGCTTTTGATAAAAGGTCATGCCCAGACTGAACCAGATTCATGTCACATATCAAGCAGTCTTTAGAATAGCTATGATAGTTGAGTTTCTTTCCTTATAAATAGTAACCTAGTTGTTATCATTAGTCATATACTTGGCAGTAAGACAGAGTGTCACTGAATAGGATATATTTTTTATAAAATTATATAGCCAGATTAATTTATTGAAACAGGTATTTTAAAATTTAAGATGTTTAATTGAATAGAGAAAAAAATTCTTTTCAGATTTCTGGTTAGAAAAAATCTTTATCTGCTTTTCTGTGCTTAAATAGATGAACTTTTAAGTATTATTAGGTACTCACAAATGCTGTCTTTATAAGACTATCTTTATATATTAAAAATCAGCTTTTCCTTCAATATGTTTTTATTTCAGATTGAAAGCTTACATTCGCTCTCAGACTGGGGTTCAAATTTTAATGAAGGTCGAATATATGCAGCAAAATTTAGTAAGGTAAATTGCTCCCCTCCCCATTTCTTTAAATATTTTTTAGTTCTGTAATATAATTAAGTAGCTTGATTAGCTCAAGTTATCAAACTCATCTAGCTATCAACAAGACTTTTGCTTTTCAACTTTCAAGTCAGAATTCAAAATAATCACACTTATTGGATAAATTTGGTTGAAAAATCACCCTGCTTAGACTATTTTATTTTCTTTTCTGTCGACTGATGTAGGGGAACTAGAATACTTTGGAATACAAGCATTCTTTTATTTGTTCTGTTATGTTTTACTTTATTGAGCTTTATAGATATTGCATTCTTTACAGATTGGAGGTTTGTGGCAACTCCGCATCAAGGAAGTCTATCTGCACTATTTTTCCAAGAGCACATGTTCAGTTCTAGTCTGTGTGTCATAGTTTGGTAATTCTTAGAGTAGTTCAGACTTCTTCTTTAGCATTATATCGTTATGGTGACCTGTGATACAATAGTAACACTTTAATGTTACTATGGTGATTGCTTTGGTGCACCATGAACTGTACCCTTAAAAGATGGCAGCCTGAATAAATGCGCGTGTTGTGACTGCTCTACAACCAGTTATTCACCCATCTCTTTCACTCTCCTCAGGCCTCGCTATTCCTTGAGACACAATAATATTGAAATTAGGTCAATTAATAAGCTCACAGTGGCCTCTGAGTGTTCAAGTGAAAGGAAGAGTCACACATCTCTCACTTTAAATCAAAAGCAGAATGATTAAACTTAGTGAGGAAGGCATGTTGAAAGCCCATTTCTCTCCTGCTAGCCAAGTCTTGATTGCAAAAGAAAAATTCTTAAAGGTAATTAAAAGTACTACTCCAGTGAACACAAGAATAATAAAAAATAAAAATTAAAAAAAAATTAAAAAAGTATAACAGTCTTATTGCTGATAAGGAGCAAGTTTTAGTGGTCTGTATAGAAGGTTAAACCAGCCCCAACATTCCTTTAAGCCAAAGCCTAACTCAGAGGTAGGTACTAACTCAATTCTGTGAAGACAGAGAGGGATAAGGGAGCTGCAGAAGAAAAGTTTGAAGCTAGCAGAGGTTGATTCGTTAGGTTTAAGAAAAGAAACCATCTCTATAACCTAAAAGTGCAAGGTGAAGCAGCAAATGGTGATGTAGAAGCCACAGAAGGTTATTCAGAAGATCTAGCCAAGATAACTGATGAAGGTGGCTACACTAAACAGATTTTCAGTGTAGACAAAACAGCCTTATATTGAAAGAAGATGTTATGTAGGACTTACAACTGGAAAGGAGAAGTAACTGCCTGGCATAAAAGCTTCAAGGGATGGACTGACTCTCTTGTTAGGGGCTAATGCAGCAGTAACTTAAAGATGAAGCCAGTGGTCATCACCATTCCAGAGATCCTAGGGCCCTTAATAATTATGCTAAATTGGGCCTTTGTGGTGGCTCATGCCCGTAATCCCAGCAGTTTGGAAGGTTAAGGTGGGTGGATCACAAGGTCAAGAGATTGAGACCATCCTGACCAACATGGTAAAACTCTGTCTCTACTAAAAATACAAAAATTAGCTGGACGTGGTGGTGCGTGCTTATAGTCCCAGCTACTTGGGAGGCTGAGACAGGAGAATCGATTGAACCTGGGAGGCAGAAGTTGCAGTGAGCTGAGACGCACCCCTGCGCTCCAGCCTGGGTGACAGAGTGAGACTTGATCTCAAAAAACAAAAGAATTATGCTAAATCTATTCTGCCTGTGTTCTGAAAATGGAACAACAAAGCCTGATGACAGCACATCTGTTCATGGCATGGTTTACTGAATATTTTAAGTCTACTGCTCAGAAAAAAAAATTTTGTTTTCAAAATATTACTGCTTATTGAGAGCTTTGATTCTCTTTGGGATTCTAAAGAAGGAAAGTTATAAAATAGAGTGAGTAAAGGACCTTAAAGGAAAATGAAGCACAAAGGAGTTGAATGCCTAGAGCTAGATCATGTGAATTTTATTTAAGTGTACTTCTTTGACATATTTTTTGTTTAGATTTTCATTTGGCTCTATGTTTAAATAAGTCTTAACGTTTTGACTTGCAAGTTTCTGAGTTGTGGTCTCTAGGTATCCTGATTCCTTTCTGTGCAATGGCATAAAAGCTGTTTCCTCACCTGCTCCCTTTTGGAACATATCATCTTACAGGAATTTCTACTGCTTTTCTCAAAAACTCTGGTCTGCTAGGACAAGCTGAGATTTCCATCCACTTTGGCTCTTCATGGACTTATAGTACACATTTCTAAGTTAAAAAAATAAGTGCTATCTAGGCCCAAGTAATATGTCCTTTATTATAAACTTTAAAATACTTAGTATCCCATATTTACCTTTTATTACAAAGAATTCTGATTTCCTTGAATTTTGGAAGAAGAGGATATTTTGTCAGTCAAGTTTGACTGGCTTAGGTGAGTGGACACATTGACCCTCAGAGGTGTTCTTAGCAGCCTTGTGAGACTGAAGTCATGGTCTCATGGCTTAAAACATGAGTAACATTTAAATGAACTAATTAGATAAAATATGACACATGGCAAGAGAGGAACTGAATTTAGAAGAGGAAACAGATAATAAAAGAAAGAATTATGTAATGATTGACTCCAGGTAAATTCCAAGGGAACAATGTAAACTGTTTTGTTTAAACGTGAATTACGTGGAACTGACTTCAAGATTTTACTAAACAAAACTGAACTTTTTAATCCCCATAGTGGAGGGAATATAGATTAATAAAGTAAAAAGTGAGTGGTGTTAAGTATAAGGAATACCTAAAATAGACTGATTTGATATGAAATCACAGCCTGGCCAGGTGTCCGTGCTCATGCCTGTGATCCCAACACTTTGGGAGGCTGAGGCAGGCAGATTGCCTGAGCTCAGGAGTTTAAGACCAGCATGAACAACATGGGAAGACCTCATCTTTTTTTTTTTTTTTTTTT